AGTAAATACATATAACAAACAAAGAAAATAGCAGATTCCAGAAACTGCAGACCTTACAAAATACTAGATTTTCTTGGAACTTTAGAAAAAAAAAGAGCCAGTCCAAGTGAAACTACACCTAAATTTTTTCAAATTTGACCAGTTTCTTGTCAAAAAGTTCACTAGATTATAATTCTGCTGAGTCATAAACTAGTTTAAATTGCACAAAATAAGTTGAAACTGTTTGCTTAGGAAAAGGAACTCTTACCATTTTCAACTTTAAATAATAAAAAAAACATTAATGTTAAACCATACTTATTTATTATAAGCCCCTGTTTACCTCCCATTGTTCAATACTATTTTTTCTACGTACTCATTTTTAACCACATATTCACAATAAAATATTCTATACATAACCAAAACTTTTCCTACTTTTGAACCATACATTTTCCAAAAGGATCACTATTTAAATTAATGTTTTTCGAAAAAAATGGCCATCAAACAGGGGCTAAATTGACTTGAAACTTGGACAAACATGCTCATTTATATCTTTGGTCAAATACTGGATGCAGTATTCTTACACCAGGAATAAACACAATATATTCATTGACAGTAAGGCAGGATTTTACAGTCATCCTTCTTCCTTGAGTGGAAAAAAGAACCTTATACGTGCTTTTTCGAAGCAAAGGAATGGCATACCTTGAGGAGCAGCAGATCTTTCAGATAATATGGATGTTGAATATGCGTACATCCTGAAGTTTGTTTCCACGACAAGAAGCCCGTGACGAAATGAAACCACAACCAAAAGGGAAAAGAGAACCAGTTTATTCTCCATGTCACAAGAGAAGACTAGAATTCAACTCTGCAAAATCAGATACCTGATTAAAATCTGTAAACTACTAAATATGTTAAATTTACACTCTCCACGTCGTGTTTCGACCTTATATCTCAAAATGTACATATCATCCGAAGTATGACATTGATGGCATGTATTAGAGAGAGGAAAACAAGTTGAAATTCCGTATATTTTATTGTGGAACCCTAGTATTGTGTACATCAGTGGAATTTTATTGGAAGAAAGATGTCTCTAATCTTTTCATATATCTTAACCTTTTCGTATATGTTGTGGTTTAGAACACAAGAAAACTATAGTGTATATTCATTTCTGAAAAATATATTGAAAAGAAAGATTGTACAACCACTTCTAACATAATGATTCAGTAAGTAACTAA